ATAACAAAAACAAGTCGCGAACACACCATAAAATGGACAATAACGTCACCTTTCTCTTTTTGTTGCCCCTACAACGATCAAAACAGACATAATAATCGAGAAAAAGCGAAAGAAGAATAACTAAATAACTACCAAAAGAAAAGAAACAATTAATTCGGAGGCAACGCAAAAATTTTACCATCTGACATTCATCTATACAGCGGTTTGTTTATTATCTAATGCGATGGTCAAAATTACAAAATAACAGAGAAACACGAAGATGTAATCACAATTACCACGCTTTATATTCGCCCCATTTCAAATACGAATAAAAGAATTGTTTACCCAGCCTCATCTAAACACAGGGAGGCTTGGAGGTTCCGTTTCTTGAGACCCAAATATTGCATTAATACAACTCTTACCATTGGATTTCTTGCAACACCAATTATACTTCAATTTGAACAAAACTAATATTCCAACAAGAAGAGCCAGTGCGGCAACTGAACCTAGCACTGCAGCTATAATATACCATAAGGCACCTAATAGCAGGACATATGAAATATATGTCTCCGTTAACTAAATATAGGCTATCCTTCGTTTAACTACTTCTGAAAAAATAAATAAAACTTTTTTTTCAAACACCAATGCTAATTAGGAGAAACAGTGTATGTCCGAAAGGACATACACTTACTTACTCTTTAAGGTGTTTTAAGAAATGTCAGAATCATGAGCCAGCAAGAACGCATGAAGGTACCTAATAGATCTATACTGTACTGCTGGCGTTAACTGCTTAAAATAAGTTTGCTTCTAGCAGAATTGAAATCATTCTTTGATATCAGCGCTTTATGTGTTATTCATTTCGCCCTGTGAGAATTAAAAGTAGTGTAATCTACGATGAATTTTGAGTCAACATGTATTGGGTATTTTTCCATTTTTAAATTCTGCCGAGATAACAGAAACTCTTGATCAGTAATTTCACTGAGTTCATGTGAAGGTCTAAGAGTTGAGGACGCACGGCTCACTCACCTGGCCCTCATTATTCGCGGTAAGGGATGCACGATTATCTGCCCGCGGGGAGATTTGACCAATTGATTGGGGAGAGGTTTGTTGGAGGTCTAGTAATACTATTATTATTGCCAGACCTGTCGCTGGCTAGAAACTTACCAGCGAGCAAAGAAATGCTCATACTAAGCGATAAAAATGACGACCTGCTCGAATGTTAACCGAAAGTTCCAAGGCAAACCCCTTTCCAGTCCGTCGCCTTTAGCTTTGGTGGTGTTATAGAATGAATGTATTTGTATATGATTTTGAAACTGGGAACAATACACAACACAAATATGACACATACTGAATGTATTCACTATGTTTGTGTCTCCTATGAGTTTTCATGAATCTCATTCCAATTGACTTGCTATTTTAGAACATACCATGCATTGAGATTTCTGTGAAATCTTGCCAATCATCAACTACGAGTCAATAGACTTAAAACTTTGTGAAAAGGGTTAACATTAAGAGGCGATAACAAATTCAGACAACTTACTGTCAGATGGGCTGCCGGGTGACGTTGGAAATGGCCATGCGGCAGTGGTTCTTGTTTCAAAATTAACCAGAGATCTTGTCCTTTTTATAGCACTCACACTGAAGTTTCCGAGCTTTCCACCTTTCGTAGCATTACATAGCACTGTGATAACATCTTGCTCTCTTGTTTCAGAATTGAATATGAGCCTTAGGTCAACAGCTAAACCTCTACACCTCGAAAAAGACACAAGACGAGGATCAGAATATAATATGTGCAAAATAGAACGAGAAATTATACTGATTTAAAAATCGATCGAAGCGGTTCACAAAGCTGATGTCATTTTTAAACTCCACTTTTAAACTAACCGTGAGGTTTACTAGCAAAAACCACTTTCATCTATAAAGCAAACGGAACAGAGTAACGGAAATCGGGATCTAAATAGATTGTCCCATACCTTTTGTGAGTAACATTCAGTCTGAAGTAAATGACTTATGGGAACTTGCCGCAAGTAGCCTTTTTCGTGAACTACTTCATAGCCAATTGCTTAGGCTCACTTGAATTGGTGCAATGCTAAATATATAAACCAAATTAAATGCAAAGCTATTCAGTGACATTTGACTTCGGTAACATCGGTTTCTATTTCCTCTAGTACATAACCTTCATCGTAGCTAAAAAAAAATATTGTAATCGCATGATATCGATATCTATTCACTAAGCTAATACGCGAAATGATAGGTTAATTAAAACAATAAAAACTTAGACAGCACTTGTGATTACTGGAATGTTTTTTTGCGTAAAATAGGTATATCCAACATACACTTACCGATACGACTCCACAAGATAAGATAAAATGAGACCTTTATCCAAGTGTCAAAGATACTGTAGCATGAAAAGTAATATAATAGGGAATGCTAAAATACTATTTACTGTATACCTACTCTATAAGAGATAAAATAAAAGTTGAGTAAAAAAACCCTAAGTAATAAACCCTAACCCTAGGCTGAGCGATCGAAAAACTAATATCGCTAATATTTATATTTTTAAGTTACAATGTGTATGAAGAGTAGTCAGCTCTAGATTCTTCGCTCATAAGTTTCCACAGATCTGACTGTTTTACCCTGCCTATAGTTCTTACCTATTTTGGTAATCTATAATTTGTCGATCCGCTCGAATAAACAAATCGTGAAGATGGGTTGACGATTTGAAAATTTGATCATTATCCTTAAAATGTATTGCGAGAGGGGTAGGAGAGGGGTACCCCTGTACGTTTTTTCGAATCTTTCGATTCACCCGAATGGGAGTTACAGTTCCATGATAAAATAAAATTTTGATGAGATTTGTACGAGAAAGGTACCTTGAACAATAAGTCGAGTGGTTTGGTTATTTTAAACAACACCCCATAACTCGCGTGGCAAAACAAAAAATGAGGCTAATATGTGAATTGGGTCGTTCCATGAGCACAAACAGCAAAGAATCACACGTCTTTTCTTTATATTTTGAACAACACACAATAACTTGCGTAGCAACACAAAGGGGCTAATATTTGCTTGTGTCGGTTTATAAAAACAGGAAGCAAAGAGTTAGGCGTCCTTCCTTCTTCATATCTTGAACTACACTCGATAACTCGCGCAGCAAAACAAAAAAAAAAGAGGCAAACATATTCATGCATCGTTCTACATAATGTATAAGCACAGGCAATAAAGAATTATACGTTCTGACTTCTCCATATTTTGAGCAGCACTCGTTAACTCGCGCACTATAGCAAACTTCAAGCTATTATGTGTATGTGTCTTTTTATATAGATATCGAAGAATCACACGTCCTTTCTTCTTCATGAATTTCGAACAACACATAATGCTCGCCTAGCAAACGAACAAAGAGGCCAATACATGTACATTTAACCATCGTTCAGCACAGGCAGAAGCATTTTCGCCCTGACTTCTTCATATTTTGAGCAACATTCAATAACTTGCACAGTATAAAAAACAAAAGGCCAATATGTGCATGCGTCATTCTATAAACACAGGCAAGGAAGAATTGCACGTTTTGACTTCCTAGGTGGCTTCCCAGAGTATTTACGAACACATCTCCCTTCAGAACGCGAGCTGTGAAAGGAAACTTGGATAAATTATCCGAAAGTTTTCCCGCATGAGATTTACCGGTACGGCTGACGATGTTCTGTTCAGTTTTTAGGAAAATACCATGGTATTTCTGTGAACTTGAGGACTCTAAAGAGAAGGTTACTTGAGTACGGGTTGAGAAAGAGAAATGAAGTTCATTCAGAGCACGAAGTTCGGGAGATTATTTAACGTGGAATCGAAGGCCCTTCATCACTTCTTTTCCTAAAAACTGAACAACAATTTTATAACGAAATCCTCTTTCAAAGGAATGTTCAATGGCAGATCTCTCATCTGACGAACAGTGCAACACATTTTTCTGTTCGGGTCTCTTTAAAGTTTCACATCGACGGCAGAATAGCTCATTACCCACAAATCCCTCTCAAAATTTGTGGCAGAACATCGCAATACACTTGGCACTGACTACTGGCGCCATGCAACTGCTTTTTCTATACGCAATCATAAGTGGGCGGTGACGATCAGTGTTATCTTGGCCAGTTCTTCTCGCCACGAACCAGAATACCTATTCATCCTTGACTTGGTCAATGTGGAAATGGGATTCCCTAACAGGGGATGCCCCTTAAGACTTCAACGCCATGGTCAAAAATGGAGACTATTTATTGAATTTTACAAGGTTGTACAACTCAGAAACTTTATTCCGCGCTTTCTGACGGTTCCACACAGAAAAATATATCAAACTAACACGAATATTTGAGCGAGAAAAAACTGTCTTAATAACTAAAGAAAAATGTCTTTGTTCAGTCATTAGCTTAATTAACAACTCCTTTGATTTAGAATGCAATGCAAAAAACATGCGTCAAATAAATTTGTCATAACAACACTATTATTCTTATAAATTCCCCAACGACTGATTTTCAAAAGGAATTACCGTTTCCCTGGGGCTTATTCTGAACTTCCTTCTAAATTACCTTAGTGACACAACTTTCTGATCTAAAGAACAGGTTCCTCAACAGTTAATCTTCAGCGTTCACTGTGCTAAGTATCTTTTCATAATTTGTCATTTGGATTAGGTTCCGAAAGGAAAAGGCAATTCAAGCAATTTCTGTGTTTTTTTTAACATTTTACACGAAAATAGATATTCACTCTCAAAATTAATTTTAATTAATATCAATGACAAAAAGTTACGGGAGGCTACTTTGATATGCTTTTCCAAAACATCGTTCGTCTTTTCAAGACAAACATCAAAAAAGATACACTTAAAATTACATGAAAGCTTTACTGTTCCTTGCTTCGCTGTTAAACGGCCTGTTTTGTATCAACATCGAATAAAGGTTTAACTTTAAATACACAGAGAAAATAGCATACGATCTCATAGGGCTGCAAGACTTATCACTCCATCCTTTGCTCCATAAGAATGCAACCGCTTACACAGCAAGATCGTCAACATTAACGTAGAGTCGATCGTCGTAATTCTTTAAGTTTATCAGCTTCTGCAAAAAATGGGGTGAAAATCAGACAGTCTTAATCGCTCGCGATACAGCCTTTTTTTAAAATGAATTTTTATCGTTCGTAAAGGGCATTTTGCTGATGGCATTATAATTGGAAATAAGCGAAATGAAATAGACATGCAACATGACTTCATAGTGACGCCATTATCACATGCATTTAACAGTGATGATTCTAAAATTCAACATTAGAAAAAAAATAGAAAAAGGTAAGGAGTATTACGGTGTGATTATTTTACAGACCAAACTAAACGTTTAAAGAAGTACACTGGTACTAACCTTACTTCACATCTACTTTGGGTTTTCACTGATAGATTCAGAGAATATCATGAAATGAGAACGAGCTTTGGAACTTGTGCAAGGACACTGGGTGGAATCCTGGTATATCATTGTTACCTCATAATTTAGGCAAAGTAGCATCGAAACTTCCGTGATTTTCATAAAATATTACGATACACAAAATCTGCCGACTTAAAGCTGACGGTAAATGGCGTTTGTAGGTCTGCGTAAGCCAGATGAAACTTAAAAAGATCAAAGATAGCTCCACGAATCTACCTTGCGCTGATTTTCCACTTGTTTGAGTTCGTTCCTCAGATTTTCAAAAGATGGTCTCAAGTTAGGGTCGTTATTCCAACAGTTTATCATTAAGTCATACCTGAAACACAAAGAAGTCAAGGATATATCATTAATTATACGTTCTTACTGCCCTCAGTTAGGATGCTGTTAGGCACAAAATGTTGCAATATACGGTAGGAAAGCTTGTTCCTTTCTGTAATGACCACAAGAAAAAACTCGTGATCACTGACTCACTCCAATATTTCCCCTAAGTAGGCTCATTCAGAAAGAAAAACTGGTTTAATTTTGAGCTTCGCATGCAACTTTCATAAGAAGAACTTTGAAAATAAATGTTACTGCTATAAGAACTTAAAAATAAAAACAACACCAACAACAGCACAATCTTTTCATACAACTTCTCATCCACATGTTGTGGTTTAGGCATTCTGTAGCCCTCTTCTAGCAAGTTTGCCATTTTTTTTCCATCCATCCTTGGATACGGCGAACCACCTGAAATAAGGCAGGTACTCTGAATACACTCCTCCACGAAGGGCCTAACACTTGTAAATACATTTTTACAATATAATTCCTGCACCATTGTTCCTCGTTTTGTTTCTTTTTCCAATAAGTTCAGCGACTGAGGCAATCTAAGGTGGCCTGACAGTTACAAAACACAAAGGCAAAACTGAATTCCTCAGAGAATGGTACACCCTGCTTACTTCATGATCACGTGTCAACACAAGTGCTAGTTTTGTTGACACGTTGACGCTAAAATTAATGGTCTGGTTATTAATCTCGCAACTTACCAATCGTGAATATCTCAAAGAGGAGAACTCCGTAGCTCCACCTGTAAAACAAACGAGATGCATAAAAGCAAATAAACGTTCTTGTCCGTACCGTTAAAAAAAAGTAAATCAAACATCTTCGGCAAAACTTCATGGGAAGCACACTAGACTCGTTATAGGAGCGGGACCTGGACCGTTACTTACAACTCGAAGCCAGAAAGGGTATTACCACCCCTTCTAAATAGGATGCCTCCACATCTCCACATCAATGAAGAAAAATACAATGACTAACGTACAGAAGACATCCAATCACTTTTCCCAATTTGCTTATGGACCTTATAATGCCCTTGTACTCACACATCACTCTTTGTAGAATATTTTCCGTACAGCAATGCCTCAATGGCAGTCCATTTAACAGGGAGACGTTCCTAAGTTAGAAACACATAGAACTGGTCGGCGAAACTGAAGAAAAGATCGTGATCAAGGATAAACCGGACTTTACCGATATAAGACTGTAAACAGATCTCTATCTAAGTGAACTAATTTGATACCTTAGACTTTCGTTGATAAATGTTGTCCTCTTGCACATCCCTGGCCATACCAAAGTCTGTTACTTTGCACTTTTCTTCTTCTCCCACCAACACATTACGAGCTGCAAGGTCTCGATGGATAATCTACGACAAAACAAATCAAATCATTAATGTTAATGAATTGAGGGGTTCAGAATAATTGAACGAAAAGAATGAAAAGTTATGACTTATGTCCGATTTCAGCAACACATGCCAAACAGTTCACTAACTAAAAATTCCGTTCCTACTTACTGGTATTGATGACAAATACGACATTCCATCGGCAACTTGCCAAGCAAACTTCATCAGCTTCTCTGACGTCAGATTTGTTTGTGGTTTGATATCCGGGTCTTTAAAGTAAGTATCATTTAATCCACGGCTCTTTCTTAGGTATCCCAATAGATCTCCAAAGGGAACGTATTCAAACAACACCATCAATGGCGCTGTAAAGCATGGTAAACATGAAAAATACGCTTATAGTAAGCACGAGATCTGTTCGAAAGAATTTTTTGGGTATTAAAGTATACTTATTCATATTTACCAGATTTCGTGACACATCCCAGAAGTTTAATGATATGAGGATGAGCATCGAGTTCCTTCATCAATTGAAGTTCGGACAACAAGTCCTTCCTATCCGACTCAGAAGCGTGATCTGCAAGATAATCACCCATCATCAGTTGTTACCTATGCAAGTAATAGCAATAACTGAACCCTGGGGAATGTTAGTTGATATTCTCTTTCTGAACAAAAATAAGTGGCACATAACATCATGAGTTTATGAAATAGTCGTAGTCATTAAATATCTTATACAACTTTATCTTTGGAGCTCGTGTGTAATGCTCAATAAGACCGACTGAATCGAGACTGTAATACTTCGTTTACACTCTATAAGTAAATATAATTTTCAACGCTCTTCTCAGTCGACAAATACAATAACAAAAACCCTACATTCCACTGCTATACCAGTGCGACCATGCTTTAACGGTACTAAATTAATTAGCATAAGACTTCTGCAAAACAATTGCTGAGCAGTGTACGTTTAACAGAGACATTTTTTTTCTCTCCCACTGAGGTTTAATGTTGAAAGGGACCACCCTTATGTCAATTTGAATTCGGAAAAAGTAGTCTTTGAGGTTTGCTACCGTTGACAAGAATTTAGATTTTTACTTAGAAACGTTTGTGTCGGTAAGTTCTTGCAGAATAAAGGTAGTTCTTCTGATTAATTGATAAGAAAATTTTACAACTTCTGATATCAGAGGACACTGCATTAGTAAGTTTCATACTAAGGCTGCGTGAGATACTTGTCATATCTTGATTACCCAGGTCTGGTCAAACCATCCATGATCTGTTTGATACCTAGTTTCAAATTGTCTCACGATCTTTATCAACTAAGTGAGGTCACGTTTAGTTGACTGCTGATTGAAGAATAGATATACTACTAAAATGATACTTACTCTCCCCACTTAAAAGGGATGAGGGAGGGGGGCAAGGGCTTGCTTTGCTACTTTCAGGATTAAGCAAGGAAGTAAGCCTTAGAAATTACGTCGGCCGCACTTTGATGCCTCTAGTGGCAGGCCTTCTCAGTCACAGCAGCCGAGTTTTAGAGCGCTGTCACCTCGAACAATCTTCATGTTCCTGTGAATCGGCTGTCGTTCAGTCAGAAAACAAACGCTTTGAACCGTTTGTTTTCTAATTGTCATGTGAAAAAGTTTGAGTGTTTTTATAAGCCACGATTCGGCCGGATCTCACCGAAAATTTCACTTTCAGATTCTGCATTAACATTAAAAAGCTTCAGGCAAAAGTGTTAAATTCGACCTGCCGAAGTTTTCCAGTTTGTAAACCATCAGTCCGGGATGATTATCAGATTTGATAACCACGTGACGTCACAACATGGCGACCATAATGCTAATAATAATATATTTATTTATACAGCGCAAATTCAACATACGTTTTTAAAATGCGATTTACAGTCAAAATATCTAAAAACAAATAAATACGAAACTATGTGATAAGCTAAAAGTTATAAAAAGCTAGTGATAGTTTTAAAATGTAAAATACTAATTTAAAGATGCGATCCTAAAAAGATAAGTCTTGAGCTTTTTCTTGGAAGTATTAAGACTGTGCTCCTCTCGTGTCTATTGGCAAGGAGTTCCAAAGACGAGGGGCAGCAGCAGCAAACGCACGGTCACCAAGAGTTGGCAAGGTTATTATAGCTAATGATGTTCGTAGGATTGTGTTATTAGATCGTAGTCCATATTTGGAGTTCTGTTGAGAGAGACCTCGTAATATATTCTGCTGCTGTTTCATAAATAGCCTTATAGGCTATAAGGTTTATCTTAAAGTTAATTCTATGCTTAACATTTAACCAGTGAAGTTCCGTTAACAAGGGGCTAATGTGACAATATCTGGGTGCTCTATACACCAGTCTTGCGGTAGCATTTTGAACGCGTTGCATTTTAGATATAAGACAATTAGGTAATCCATACAATAGAGAATTACAATAGGTGAGGCGGCTCGTCAAACCCATGTATTAAATTCTCCGTGATTCCTTGAGCTAAGAATTTTCTTATCCTGCTGATATTATGGAGGTAAAAGAAACCTGTTTTGCAAGTTTTTGTAACGTGCGTACTCATTGTAAAGTTGGCATCAAACCAGGCACCCAAGTTTCTGATTGCGTCTGTACTAGGGGATATACAAGAGTCTCCTACAGCCAAGTTGTCAATATCCATCTTCTTTAACTGCGCTTGAGTGCCAATAAGAATGAACTCCGACTTATCGTCGTTGATCTTGAGCTTATCTTTGATCACCAACTCCCGTACATCTTGTATACAAGCCTCCAATGCAGCAACAGCCGAATGTTGAGTGGCACGATCCCCCTGTCGAAAAGCCAGACACAGCTTCGTGTCGTCGGCATAGCAATGCACTGTGGGTATGTGTTGAGTGACAATGTCGAACAATTGACTCGCGTAGATGGAAAACAATGATAGACCGATGCAGGAACCCTGCGGTAAACCAAAGTCGATGTCGAACTTGTCAGAAGTTGCACCGTCTATTACAACCTGTTAGAATCTGCCCGACAGGTACGAACTCCAATGCAGTTCTGCAAAATACAAACTTATCCTCAAGACGCCGAAGCAATACCGTGTGATCGATCATATCGAATGCAGAGCCCAAGTCAAGGAAGACCAATAACGATACATGTTGTCTGTTCATTTTAAGTAAGATGTCATTTTGAACACGAAGTGACGCCGTCTCGGTGCTGCCGATAAGCCGATTGTAGCGCAGGGAAAAGCCCGCATGCCATAACACGAGAAACTGCTTGTTGGGCAACTGCTTTCTCTGCAAGCTTTGACAAGAATTGGAGGTTACTTACAGGTCGATATTTCTTCTCATCAAGTTCCAGACCAGATTTCTTGAGCTTGGACTTGACCAGCGCCCCTTTCCACGCATCAGGGAAATGACCCTGTTCGAGGGAGAGATTTACACTGGACGATATAGCGGGTGACAGTTCATCCAAGCACTCCTTAACAACACTGGTAGGAAGAGGATTAATTACACATGAGCACAAGTATGGCTCTGTACGATGATAGTTTCTCGGCATAGACAAGTTTCTTCCCTTGTGAATATTTCCTAAATCTGCTGGCCCCCTAAAATCCTCAGACCTTTGCCCTAACAGCCTAACTCCATCCAAACTTTGGCAACTGGGGCGATTAGCAAATGAATGACACGTACAACCGAGCCTATTTCCACATACACACCCCTTAATCTTGTTACCTTATTCTGGACATGGCATTACAAACATGGTAGATATGCTGCAAATTTTCCAGTTCCATGACTAGTTATTTCGTAATGGTGTCTACAAGTTGTGGGAAATGGTTGGGGTGAAATATGTAACAAGTATTTGCTAGTAGATGGTCAAATGAGAACTTTTTACAGATCAATAAAATTTATTGTTGTGTTCCGTGTTAATATGTTGCCACAACTCCACCTTCCATAAAAATCATTTATTTGCAAACATGAGAGAATACCATCTAGAACTTTTCAACCTCATTATTGTGGCTAATAACAACATCAACTTTAAAACTAAAGAAAAAACTTGATCGATAGTTTGAATTGATTTCTGTTATGTACAAATGAAATCCTAGTTTTTTTCCAAGGTTTCTACAAATATCTTCGTGGACAAATTTTAAGTCTGTCTTCATCATCAAGTTTTAATTATGATATTCTAGTTCTAACTTGTCTTCCTTTAAATCAAACTTTCGCAGCGCGAGAAACATGACAGAAAAATTTCGTTTTTCAGTAGCGAAGATCTTGGACAGTTGGTTTGAAGACACTGACATTAAATGCAATTCCGGTAGATATTATCAAATTAATACCAGAAAAAATCTCAAAGAGAAGTCCTGTATTTCCAGCCAGAGGACAGTTAAAAGTGATTCTTCTTATTAATTTCCTACGCCAATCAAAGGAAGTTGAACGCTAAGGAAAAAATAATGGAGCAAGCGGTCATGCCTTGCAACTTCAAGAGAAGATATATGAGAAGCCCATACAATTCTGCGTATTGTTCTACGAAACCACTATTTCGACTGGTGATGTCTTTACTCGAAGTCGTTTCGTTACCCTCTCCTTTAATTTTGGCTCATTTTCCCCAACCGAAATTATTAGTCACGCTCAATAGAATATAATTGCAACTGATACTGACATCAAATACTGCATGTGACTAAAAAGAGCTCCGCTTTTAGGCTTGACGAAATCTATATATTACGTGAATGGAACTATATTTCAGTTTTATATTAATCACTTGGCGGAAATCCAGTTAAAGTTGTTTTGAAGCGAAATACATAACAGCCTAAAAATATCTGGTCTGTATCCAGACATATGAAACATAAGAAGTGGAGAAAGTTGATGCTGCCTCAAAAATAGGTCATTTACGTTGATCCTTCGAGCTTATTAAGCTCCAAATTCGCATGATATTTAAATTACCCTAATTTACGCTGGGAAAGGTTGAAGTATCAACTGAAACGCCCTTCTCAAAGATTGAGTATTTAGTCAGAGTCCATCGTCTAGAATACACAACAGTTATAACATCGATTCATGAAGGGCGCTCTGACCTCACCTTCCAGTGATAAACGGAGAGAAGAAATGTAACCGCCTTTAATAACATTCTACTTCTTTCATTTAACACGGGTAGCTTACATAACGCTCAAAAGTGTGGCACGGAGAAGTTCGACTCTGTTTCAGGCGTTTGGTCAGAGTCGCACGAAGTTCAGGATTTACCGAAGCCATATAACAATTAATTGTGGTAACACCTCGTGGGAGCACAATCGCGGAAAAATGCAAAAACATGTTTCTTATGAATTTTGTTTGGCTCGGCCGCTTGAGTGGCTTTCGCATCAGAGTCGTGTAGCGCGGCAGAACTTGTCGAACTGACTGCTTGCTGAACATAATTAAAAGGTTCATTCAAGGAATAAAACACCTTTCAGTCGTCTGATGCGAACTCTTACCTGCTTCTCCTGAAACTTCGCGCAAAATAGCGATTAGCCATAGAACTAAAGTTGCACGGAATAACTTCATCATCAAGGTTTAAGCGATTAGTGGTCACATGAGACATATTCATAAA